CTAATCCCAGGAAGTACATGGATGTTATTAAGCTAACAATGCTTCTGCCCTGGGCTATGTAAAACAGCTATACTGCCTCCAAGCATGGTGGATATGCCAAAGAACATTTGATGAGTACATTGTATTGACACCTCAAGGTTTCTATAGGAGTTAACCTGAAAAATGACGAGGTCACTTTTTCTGATTAATTTGTTGGCCTATTATTTACACAATCCACAGTCTGTCAATGACATAAAAAGGATACATTATCTAAGTTAATTAATATGCATTGATTTACTTAATAATTTTATGATGTTCATGAAATTAACATTTTGCGAGACGTCTTTTCTTAAGTACCCACCCCTTAAGTGAATAATTTCTTTCGCATTGAAAAAAAACAAACAAGGAAATAAATTCTTGCCCAACTAGTAGTACATGCAGAGATATTTCTATGGTCAAAATAAGTAATATTTTGACGATATTCAATGTTGCCAAAGAAGGTATTTACAAACTACCACTAAACCACACAAACAGTATGCATATATACAAGTGTGAAGGTTGCAATTCATTTGACTAAATGTAAGATACACCAGTAATAAGTCATTTCAAACAAAATCTGGTAAATGTGTCTCATGATATTATGAACATTCATTATAGACCTGGGAAATAGTCAGACTGACATAGACCAAGTCATCTCAGCAACTGGCTGTAAACACATCCAAAATGGATGCCAGTTAAAGTGTATACATAGGACATGTACTGCGCCATTTGAAGCGCACATAGGTCGTAAGTAAGTCTTCCTTTGTTCATACACTTTTTGAGCCCATAAGCACATGGACTTTTAATAGAACAAATACATAATACAGTATCATCTATAAACTATGTTTAAAATATATCAGGTAAGAGACAAACGGATCATTGATAAAACCAAAATCAAGGACAAGCAAATGAAGACACAATTGGTCTGTGTGGAATTCTTGTGACCTGCTCTGATAATTGTTATAATATGCACAAATTTGTACCAACAATAATCTAGTGTGGTGGTTATCATTTACCAATTTCAATTTAATTAAATCAGTGATTCTTGCGATATCAGTAGATCAAGATTTTGACACACAGTAGTCAGACATGAGTACATTACTCCAGTCTGTGTTGCACACACATAGGATCAAAAAAAAGGTCAGACCCACTGCAAGAAGGATACATACATGACAGATGTCATTCCTGGTCAGGAAGAAATAAAGATGTGACTGAGAATATACAATTTAGACAACTCAATATGTGGGCCGTTGTAGCTGGGGTATCTTTTCCCACCAGTTCAGATTAAATGACATTGTGAATTGCGTAACATGACTATGACACAGCAGGTGTTTTTTGAGCATTTTATGTGCGATTATGTAACAGGAGTCAGGTAATTAATTGGTAATGCACAGAGACTATGTAAAATTATATCCTGCTCTCTGGAATGAGACTTGGATATCCAAGGCGACAAATGAGAATTATTTATGATATCATTTATTTAATAATTACATTGAAACACCTGTGGGAAATGTTCCATAACTGGGACCTTTTCAAATACTTCCTGCACATTATTTACATACAGTGAACAATTGAATGAGAATGACAGAATGAAGTCACTGATCAGGAAGATCAGTCTAGCTCGGTCACTAAAAGAAGCCAAGGGCAACATCCTTGAACCAAGGTTCAGGTTCATTTAAAATACTGTATTGATTCAATTAGAAGCGAAACCACAATAAATGGGCATGCAAACCAACAGTCCTGTCAATTTGCTTTTATGCGGAGGCCATTGTTGACTAATTTTTTTTACCAAGCCTCATTTTTGGGTCACCTGCAACAATATAACACACATGCATCGTTACCAATATGTATGCGAAAGCAAGGCTTGTAACGTAATAGTCTGCAATGATCAGTGTATACTGGTTTATTGAAAAGTGACATACAGACATAAGAAATCGGCTGTCATTGATGTACTACAAAGAGTAAATATGGTAAATGAATTTCACTTTCAGTCATAGGGAGCAAATATCAATTTCAAAATTATTTTCTTATATGAACAATCATGTACTCATTAAAGTAAACATGAGCACAAATTACTGAAAGCTGAACAGTCCAGTATAATGAAACCATTAGGCAAAGATAATACCATGAAAAGCTTATGTAAATCACTGACCCTCCAAATCATGGGTATAGCTATCATGGATAAGGTTCACTACAAGTGACACTGTACATTTAACACATTACATACGATAATTGTAAAACTGGAGTAAAAATCAAACATTAAATATAAAAAAAAGATCTTGGGTAAAGCTATCTGGAAAGGGCCATTCTCACAGTCTGAGCTACATCATGATCCCCCAAACATTGCCAGGACCCATCACAAACAGGAAAAGACAATGAATTTTAGGATTAACATCTCTGTTCACCCCACGCTAACAAACAAATCTTTTGTCTTTTACTGACTTCCTGTTCCGGTCCGTCTGTGAGAATGATGCAAAACCATACCTGCAATTTGTGAATGTGTAGTTTCCTCTGTTGGTTTTAAATTCTGTTTGAATAGGCATTTCCTGGAGAGCACATTTGTGACTCATGTTTGTATCATAAAACATACACTACATAAGCAGTCAATTACCCGACAGACTAGCTTTAACTGTCTATTGTTTTTAGTACCAGAATCATGCTTGAGAACTAGGATGGCAAACTGGCATATAACATTAGCCTTATACACTCCATTCTTGTATTGTTATATTTTGATTGTTTGGCTATACCTCTAGCATTTGTATGATGGGTCATTGAGACACTGCACAAGGTCACATCAGAGGTTATCATGGTTGTGAAAATTGCTGGCAATATTAGTAAATATGGAAACATGGTTAATTTCACTTCTTTGCGTGAAATAAAGACATGTTAGTAAAAATGTACAAAATTTTACGTAGAAAAATTATGATGAACATTGGCAAAAAAAATGTCCTCAAAAGCTGATTAAAGAGACAGTCATTGCATCATATCGTGTTCGAAATGGGTCCTATGTGGCATATTTTAACATGCAACAAGTGTAAGAAAAATTTCTCAAACCCATGTTCAAAATACTTTATATATCTATACATGATATTGCTAATTATATTTACCAAATATCTCTCTTGCTGGTACCATAATGGTAATTGCGAAACAGTGTGCGTCTGGGACTAGTTTAATAAAAGCCTTGCATGTATTCTTTTCACGCGACATGAAACAGAATAGTCGGCCTGTTTTGTTGCTGTATAAAGTGTCCTGGAGCAGAGGAGAACTCCTGGAGTGGTTCTTTTCATGTTCTCAGTTGTTCAGTACAATTTTACACACGGTTCGCTATAACTCGATAGTTTATCACGGTTATGCATTACTATAATAAAGCCTCCATTTGTACACAGGATGTGTTGTCACCACTGACAATACAGTGAGAAATACGAGTTCAATGAATAACTCAGGATCACCTTTTTTTATTAAATATAAACTTGCACCCACCAGTGCTGTGCATATCAGCAAGATATATTATATATTATTATGCCAAATGTCTTTGCTGCATCACTTCTAGAACTGAATTATATATTTAATTTTATTTAAAACAAGTCAAGGACAAAATGGACAATCAATAGTGTCTGTCAAGATTACGAGATACTAAAAATAGAACTGATGTAATCATATAACTGAATTCAGTACACAGACTATCAAGACAATTTTAATCCTAACTGCATTACCTCACTGGTTTTTTATTTAGGTGATTGGTTGTGAATCACAGAAAATGTAACCCTTGCTAAATTATTTTAACACCACAACAGTTATGATCAGTTTTAGTACTTGTCAAATTACTTGTTTTTCAACATCTTCATGAATAACTAGTCACATTATGTAATGCTTAGTGACTGAAACAAGTGCTATTCAAAAATGCGTCACAAACAAACTGACAATTCTGTCAAACAAGAACTGTGATTCTGAACAATTCAGTCATATTTTAGAAAAGACCAATTCTGCCTTACTACAGGTCCAACTGAAGATGATGTTTAAGGTTACAGGGAATGTGCTACAATTACATGTACAGACACCCTCCCATAATTAATAATTTTGTGAGTATGGGAAAAATCAATACCTAATTTATTAACAGCAAGCAAGTACAAAGGCTGCCAGATATGACTTGTAAAGCCAAACAAACAAAATTGTGTGGTTATGATAACATGGGAGGTCACAGGGAGGCAGGTATGGGTACAAGTAGGTAAAAAAACTGTTTACTTTTTGGAGGATAGCAGTACATTCAGACAACCTTTTAGTTATAGTTCCTCTAACGGTGCATAATTCAGTCACACTAAAACCAAATGACCCACTACATCTATGTTGTAATATTTTTTAGTTTTACATCTTGTAATGCTTTTTCATTATTTCCCTACACACATTTATGACCCACAGGAAAAAACAGGACAAGGGGGAGTTATCAAATGCACACAATTTTATGTTTCCTAGACTTGGGTATATTTCAACATTTAAGCATGATCAGGGATGGTGGCAATAAAAACGTACACTAGTGTAGAACCAAACCTGTGATCATGCCTGGATCTTGATGATACACGCTGTACAGATATCAACTACGATTACAAATTTATTTTTTAAAATCTGTACTGCATGTAGCATAATAAATGAACTACCCTGCTGTCTGTATCAAGCATTGCCTCTTCAGTATTCAGATACAAGATCATGGAGGCAATGATTGACATAGCCATTCATTCATTGAATTACTTGACATAACCATTAATTTCTTGAAATAAATGTACCAAGTTTATTACCATAAAGTACATACCTTTTGAAGACTACTAGGATTTAGTTGTGTCTTGTCTATGATCTTGATTGCAACCTATGAACAGATAATAAGAATTCACTGAAAACCATGGTAACAGTAGACATAGCACAAGAGACTCCTGCAAGCCGAGTGCTTTTGATCATGAATGCCAATTTCGATTTGCAATTAGCTTACTTTCAATTAAATCGACATTCATGTTGTTCTAATATTACTCAAAGTATCAGTTTAATAACTTTATAATGAGGCCCAAATCTGGGCGTTTATAGAATGCCATTTTTGTCCAACCAAGTTGTTAGGTGACCAATCCATTTTTTACGCGATTTAGTAATACAAACCTCTTTTCCGGTCGGTAAATGTTTAGCTAATTTGACTTTGGCGAAATTTCCTTTTCCAATCGTCTTCAGAAGCCGGTACTTCCCAATATGAGGCTGGTCGTCGCCGGTGTTCCGATCGCCACGATCTCGGTTTCGGCTCGATCGACTCGATGAGTTTGTGTCGTCCTGTTCATAAACAATAGATATTACATCGGGTTATGATTTACATTTTCATTCACAAAGACATGCAGCAACTAAAAATAAGGTGTGTCGAATCAGCTATAATTATAATGTATACTTACATGGTGGTGATGATGATGGTGATGACGACCACCGCGATGAAGATCCCGATCTTCGTGAACTGTTTGCAACACTGGTCGAGTGGACATGTTGAATCCTATTATGAATAAATTTCCGAAGGATTGGTTTTAGAATGCCCTAGTTCATTCCATACGACTTTTGACTGTTCTGTAAATTTGTCCACATGTCGTATACAGTATTAAATCAGACGACAATCACCGAATGACTTCTACAATTCGTCGAAAACAAGGCGTCAGTCGTTGAAACCCGCCTCAAATAACAATCCCTGTCTCGAATGTATTCAATGCTATCTCAATTATAATCCACGGTGACACGCCTTGGAGGGCTTCTGAATAACTGGAACTTTGGCATGTACCTCCGCAATGATTTCACAAACATTCCCATGCGAGCAGAACAGTTGGTAGTCACAGAGATCGCCAGCAATTCCAAGTAAAAACCATACTAAAATATTTTTTCTAAAATTCAAAACAAAATGGCCGACAGTTCTTTTTTCACACGCCAGAGCCCAGCACTATCGTGACGTGTGCAAAATCTGCCCTGCCATCATCCTTCATTTTGATTGGTTCATTTTTACCGATGACGTCATCTTCACTTTGGCTAGCATCAGCTGAGCTACTTTCAACATGTCTGCGCATATATTTGCACAGAGAATATAAAAGATTGTAAATGTAGTGAATTTACGTGATAGTTCCGAAAGTTGAACTTTTAAGATGTAGGTCACTGGATGTACGCTATTGTCATAAAGAAAATACTTTTGTTCAGATCAAGCAGTCAACACTGGGTACCAATCCAAATTCACTTGTACAGTCCAGGCAATGGGTGTCTTTGTTCTTAAAATGGATGTTTAGGGGTATATCATTAATTTTGAAAGGGATTTGGTATTGAGAACAGACAAGTTAATGCAGTAGGATATTTCTAAATGTACTACAAAATACTGCATTTATAATTATTATTATTAACAGATATATTGTTCATCAATAACATTGACAAAATATGAATTGGATTCTTTAATCCAAGTCCAACATTTGGCAACATCCGATTTATTTCCTTATTCAATATGTAGTAAAAGTTTGTCAGTGGTTAAGACATCTATAATTAAAATAATGGTTGTGTTCATAACACTGGTTACACCAATAAGCAGGTCCAGAAAATTCCATTCTAAATATGATTATGATTCTCAATTCAAAAAACATTTACCTCATTCACACCTCAATAACAACAAGAGCACATGTTGGAATGAAATTTATATTGTAATAAAGATTCACACCTGTGTATATGAATATACAAGCAAATATTATTTGATAAAAAGTAGTATCATACAACTTAAATTTTATAAAAGACGTACATTTTTAGATTTTAGTAGCCAGAGAATATTACCGTACCAGAAGTCATTTGTCATTATTAAAACAGTATGTGTTGTTCTTGCTCTTCATTCAAGAGGAAACAGAAAAGAGATTGTCAACTTGGCAAAATTCCTACAATAATCATAAATTCAATATTTACTTTCAAGAGTTTTAAGGATAATAACCCACTTTTTGAGAAATTTCTAATTTATTGTTCGGGAGCTAAGTAGAAACTAGGATACAAATGTTATGATTTTTGACAAAACAATAACTGATATCATTATGCAAAGTGTATAAATCACTGCATAGCAAAATGATGCATGTTACATTATCATTACATTACCTCAAAAGTATACAACTTTAGTAATTCAAATTCTAATGATAATATACAAAGAATACGATATAAAAACATATGGAATACAAACAAGTAATTATAACTACAATGCAATTACATATCTGATCAAGCATGACTGTATACTTGGTATATGTCTCTGGTACCAATGCAATACATTCTACAATAGATACATTCTACTTAATAGGCAGTTTGTCACAGACCACAGAAATCCAAATTTACTTGGATTAGAGCGACTACATTAATCAACTGGATGCCAGGGTTAGGAATATGAAAATTTGAATATGAAAATAAAATATTATTATTTTTATTTACTTAAGGTTGCTATATAACAAACATGAACATACCAATGCATGTTATGTAATACAACTGCTTGTTTTAGCAACAACTTTGTCTGCTTGATGTAGATGTACCAGTAAAATTCAATAAAAGATTAAGGTGGTCAATCCTTAGTGTAATATTCAATAACATAATTGTGACACTTTGATGGATTCTCATAAGTAAAAGACTTATATGAGTTATGGAGCAGAACTGTGGAATAAATGCACCATATTGTTCATATTGTCATCACCTGAGTCCATGGACTCCCTTGGCATCAACGACATAATAGCACAAATCTCTGGGTAAATGTGGTGCAAACATTGCCTCCATTGTTCGAACTTTAGCAACAGCATTGTTTCCTGTGTCTGGATCATTAATGTCTATTGTCATACTGGTTCGAGAGAGTAATAATCTGCAAGTTACTAAATTAGACCATGAAAGTCCCAAAGCTGGGATAAATTCATAGCGTCCATATTCACTGTCACCTTTCATATTAGCACTGACCTATAAGGAAAAAGAAATCCATTACTCATAATTATCAGAGACACCAAGGTACTACATTCTCTCTAAATGTCATCGAGACAATTGCATGTATCCATGACATCAACCATTTTTACATGACTGCACAATAAAAGGAAATCAAAACCATATCAATAAGTAGGAACAATGTAACCATGCAACAATAATACGTATAATATATGCAAATATGAATAAAAACATACAAGGCCAATTTTCCAAATAATTAACTAGTATTAGGAATTAATTAAAATCTGTTTTTGATGGGTCACAAATTGCTATTATTTAGTGATTATTCTGTTCTGAAAATTGTATTATGAAAATTAAGAAAAATGATTGTAATTAAAATAAAAAAAAACATAAAATGGTAAAAAAATTATTTTCAACATTAAAATGAAAAAAATGATTTTTAGGTTTTTAACACATCAAAATGGAAAAAAAGCATTTTCTAACATACTGAAAGTGAAAGTAACCAAATTTTAATAAAAATGTTTTTCACAATTTTGTTGTGTACATATGTAGTGTTGAATCTTGGCTGATCTAATCACTTGTTATGTACAAAAATTATGATTCATTGATTGGATATCTCTGATATGACAAATAGTAATTTCGTTTTAAGTGTCACTGAGAGCATGTCAATAACAAATCAGATATGCATCTTTTATAAAGTACTTCATGTAACTGTAATATGATTAATTCAGTTTGTAATTTATGTTAGCCTGAAATCCATAGAAACACAGGTAATGATAAATTGAGCCACTTAATATGCATGCATGGGCAAACAGACAAACAAGCAGATGGACAGAGGAACAGGTTAAATACACTCGCTGTGGAATCCTGAATTAGAACTGTAAAATGCTACTTCTTTTTTCATCATAGTTATTAGGTGAGTCAACACTGTCAGATAATATCACTAGAGAAAACATTGACCATGACATACCTGATTAACACACACTACAGGAGCATTGTACTGCTGATTTAATTTACGTAACTGATCCCCAAATGATCTGAGATGGTGAGCTCTTTTGGCAGCTTCACTGAAGTCATATTCACCTCTGAATAACGCAGCAATGGAATCAATGACAATGAATTTAACCATTCCTCTAGCAAGCAGTACAGGGACTCGCTGATTTATACATTTCCATAAACTTTCCTGCTTAACAAAAACAAATTGTGAAATACCAGTGAGCTATTTTATAAAAAGAGGAATTTTAATTATTAAACAAAGAATTAATATTCTATGACAGATACGTTATGAGAATTGAGTTTGTCAGATTTTGTGATTGGTAATAAAGCATTTTATTCATTGATAAAGCAGAGAGATCCAAGGTACAGTTATGATTTCCCAAATATTCAATCACAAGCATGCTGAATAATGGAGAACACATTTTACACAAATCCCATGTGTGAATTAACAGAATCTTTGCGCTGTATGGCTGTAAAAATTGATCACATTATTTGCACTAAAAACAAAATAATGTCAATAAGAAAGCTTTCCTATTATAAATAAATATATTTGAATGGAAAATAAGCTGCTCATCTGTTTCTTTTGTTATTAGGACAGCAAAATCAGATCACACTATAACCCCCAAATAAAGTTCACACATCTGGATGCATGTACGTGGCAGCTATACAACAACAACAGTGTGTTGGTGTTTGGAGATATGAACCAGTTATGTAATAATATGATGTACCATATTTGCTCTATTAGTAGCACATGTGCTTACATAAATTACAGAGACACACAAAGGTCAAAATAAGTAATATTTTAATATATCAGAAAAAAACAAATGCAATTTTTGGTTTTTATAAGCTTCTATTGGAGATAATAGAGCAAATATAGTCATATTTTGAGAAAAAAAATGTAAAATATTATCAACTGTACCTGGTCTGAAGCATGTTCCACAAAAATATGATCTCCCACTGCCAATTGCATCTCTAACTCAGGTCCTAACTTTCTATTGAAATACTTTATCATCTGATGAAGTCGTTTACTGGGAAAGACGTCTTCAGTACATATGTACACAGCACCTACCAACCAAAGATCATATTGAAACTGCCCATGATATCAATAAAATATGAAAAAAAAGAAAATTCTGAAAATAGGCAAAAGTGACTAACAAAAAAACAAATTGTAACGGTACATCTTATGATGTTGATGATAATTTACTTCTTTACTTCCTTTACTACCTAATAAAAGATCTCCTCCAAATGCAAGGGAATACAATTTACAGTTTTTCTATATTACCTCTCATTCTATAAATATTGTTTATTAGTATGCGTTGTCCACCATTTTGATTTACCCACAAAGAATTGTGGGTAAAATACGAATTCAAAACATTTGTATAAAAAAATCATCCATAACTGACACAAATTACTTCAAAATTTCAGTGTGAATATTACATGTGTATATAATAATTAGATTGTTACAAAGACACAAGTAAAGATATTGTGTAAAAATAAAAATGGTTATTTTTGGTCATTGAAAATAATTTTTTTTTTGCAGGTTATATATAATCTGAAAAAGCTACTCTCATTGAGAAATTGTATAAAACATACCAAGAATTGAAACCTCCTTATACATACTGTAAAATGACTAATTTTCACTGGGTTAAAATTTCGCTGATTTACCATTTCAGGCATATTCAGTAGGTTTTAAATTCACGATTTTATCATTTAGATAATGTGTTCTATGCTAAATTTTACATATTCACTGGGTTTAATTTAGCGCATTTTCCAGTCAGCGAAATAAGCTAAATTAAAACCCAGTGAATAATTAACCCCTTTACAGTATACTGTTGAAAAGTTGAATATACAGAGAATGTAAAGTGACATAACAGAACTCTCCTGCATAGATTTATCATGATCATAAAGTGTTCTACCAATATGGTAAGACAGCAGATTTTGGAGCATATTAAATTACATATTTAATTGTAAACTAGCAGTGTTGTGATCAACATACATGCAAACAAATACACCTTTCTGCACAGATCAGTGGATCACCCTATCCATAGCATGGTGTGTAAACAGTGAACTGTCAATGCCATTATTTTGTGACAAAATCAGAAAATATGTGCTGTAAACATTTTTTGATAAATTTCAAACAATCCATATTGAATATTGCATACAACCAGCTAAAGCTTATTAAAACAATATTAAAAGACAACAACAGCATAAATGAAAAACAGAAAATTATTACTACTCCAATTATGAAAAATTAGGAAGGCACAGTACTTTGAAATTACATATTTTTTTGGTTATTATATATGATCAACATCAAATGCATTTAATATAATATTGCATAGATCTAAGAAAACGTTAGTTGAGATTGTTTACGACATGTATCTGGTTATACTAATTAGTCCTAATGACAACTCATTAAACAAAATTTACAAAAGACATTGTAATGATATTCACTATATTCATCTAATTAATCATGAGTGACAGACAGTTTCATCATTGTTTACTAAACGCTGTTCAAAGAGATAATATAACTGAACCTATTGTTTGGCACTATTTGTTTTAGATAGTTAATGTTGATATTTGCATTACATTCTGGTCTTGCACATAAGAGTATTCATTTGATGAAATAATGAACTTGCATGCATTTTGAATCACAAACATATTGCCACCTTATAGCATTGGAGGGTTCAAAGGTCAAATATTGGTTTATTATTATGGCGATTTCACCAAAATGTAAATTATTCCTTTTTCAAATTTATATATGTACCGATAGTTCTAAACAATGAATATGATTTCTGTGACAGAATGGTTTATATGTTAGCTTGTCAGCTTATTCACAGGTTTTTAATTTTGTTACTTTCGTCGGTAAATACAATATGCTAAATTAAATCCATGTGAAAATAACATAAAATAACAAAAGAACTCATTTTTTCTAAGTTAGTGAATTTAAACCCCAGTGAAATTGCTCAAAAGCATTAAAATTAAAGCATTAATTAATTGCTAGTAAAAATAAATTATTTTATAGTACCTCCAGCTAAGCCACCCATGTGACAGGGTAATTGTACTGTTAAACATAACTGCATACATAACTGTGTTTTTCCAGCAGCACTTTCACCAGCTATTTCTGTGATTCCCTGTGATAGGATTCCACCTCTAAGGAAGTCATCTAAAACTTCACAGCCTGTCTTTACATAACGAACCTTCAAAGATGCATGACATCTCTCTTCTTTTATATCAAGAGCTGTGTACAATAATGATAGATTGTTACAAACTTAACAAAATTGTTTAAAGAGAAATAATGCAACAGTAGGCTAACCATTAAGTAAGTCTTGGACAGCTTAGCTTTTTAAAATAAAGGGGAATTAGGTACAACTTTTTGTATTTTTGCAGATTTTGAAAAACAAAACAATTTCCTATATCATTGTGATAAGTGTAGAATACAGGTTATTGTGCTATTGCAGAGGTCTAGATGAAAATACATTTAAACAAGACATTTAAACAAGCCCCCGTTTTAAGACAAAGTAATGCATGAATCAACTGAGACAAGTCAGTTTCAAAAAACAATACCCCTAAAATGTGCTTTAAAAACGAGTATACTTTCCCTGTTGAACAAAATTGGTCAATGCAAAACATAAACATTGAAAAAAAAAATGTTTTATTCTTTTTCTGAGCAAAAATGCCTATTTTTTTTACCCCAAAATATCCCTGAAATGTGCTTGAACCACAAAACTATGTCTCTTGAAGCTGTGTTACATATTTCATAATACTGAGCATGGACACACAAGACACACAAGATCTTGGACATTATCCTCAAAAACACTTTCAAGCAAAAAAATGGCTGCCCAACAGCTACATTAGGTGAGTGACCTAATGACATCATAGATCACTAGATTTAAAATCAGTCACTCATAAATTATTTATATTGATATAATTTTGCTGAAAGCTAAAGGTTGCAGCTTGGGTGGCTTTAAATTCCCTTATACCTAAGAACACAAGAATGTCTGGTACATGTAGCAGAAACTTTGATCCCTACGAGGCCTAGAAAAAAATGTTTGTTTGTTTGTTTGTGTTTCCATCTCTCCTAATCCATGTCAAACAAATACAGATGTCATTGCCTTATTTGTCAAATTCCGTTGATACTGGAAACACATTTATTTGTTTTTGATGACCTAATGTGAATACTACCAGTAGGACTGTTTCCGAACAAAGAACTCCATTCATAAAAACAAATATATACTTTAGATGTAAGGAACAGTTTGTATAATGAATAATGTTTTCAGAAAATGCATGCTTATGATGTAAAGTCCACTGTACCTATAGCCATGGGGATTCTTGGAACACTTTTAGATACCTCGTAGAGTAAATGACCAACATCACTGGTCGACAGTTTTGTTAACCTCGAAAGATCTGCTGCTGAAAGGCAGAGTGTCTTTTCTACTGTCAATTTAGCTGCAGGAAAATGGTACAAAATAACAACCTATTACTAAATTACGAGTAATAATGTGCAGTAGTATACAAAAATTACTGTAATGATAATGTATGAGCCATCAAATTTGCAGATCTTTTAGGAAGGACAAAATGTTGTCTCCAAAACACTGAATGTAAGCTACTGTAAATGCATTAACTATTCACGTTTATTTTCACTAACCAGTTCAATAAAAAATACATGAGAGTCTGAGAACAAAACACATGTAGAAACAGTCACACTGTAGTAGATTATATGGGGTCTATGATAGAATTCTTAAAACATAGTAAAAATAAACATTTTACAATATCAGTGTAATTCCAGTCAATATGCTGGCAAGAGCCTGAACTTGGAATATCACAATGCATGGTTATGATAACTGTGGGGGATGATACGTTGTGACTATGGAAAATAGCCAAAATTAGAATGCAAAATTATCTCTTCCCCAATCTGCATTAATCACCACAGTAGAATGACTTGCAATAAACTCAATAATTTTATTACTAACAGAAAGCCTGTTGGAAATCTAGAGACTTACAGCAAGATATAACACTACATATAACACAAATTGTAAGAATGACACAGAACTTGCAGCCTGAGTATACCATTGAAATACATGGGTAATTAGTGGGAAAGCCTCTAATTGGCTGAATATAAAAATTGAAACAAAAGCACTGTGGTGGTTTCTACCACGTTCACACTTATGTCTGCACTTCAGAATCCATATTTTTAAACAATGTATTATAAGTCAGAATACTATTGAACTTGTAAAAAAAAATGAATTTAAAAGCGATTAACAAATATTGCATGTTTCAATTGCAATTTTTCACAAGATAAATGATTCTGAAATTACTCAAAAAACAAACAAACAATTGCAGTTCCCTAAATTTTACATTACATGTATACATATCGTAAAATGCATTTCCTGCCCCCCCCCCCCGTGATTTCAATGGATGATTCCTAATATGGCGATATAATCTATTTATACCTCCATGTAATACGTGGTGCTTGCCAACAAAGTGTAAATAAATCAGCTGTTGTCCCAGAATGGTCTTTCACATTGCCCCAAAACTGATCACGACTTTGGTTTACAAAAAATGCGTTTTGGATCGTTCTATATTTTACCTCTTTTGATCGCATCCAATATTCTTGGATGTAGTTCAAGTTCATTCACATCCATAACTAAAATTCACTCATCGTCCGAAATTTGAAAGTCCCACTGATTTCCCACAACACAGTGCGAGTTGATGTCTGCGCATGGGCAATGAAGGCATTCAATATGGACGACAATGGGACACGTAAAGTAATATTTTAAACATATTTACATAGTTTGGAGAGAAAACTGTAATTCGGTGGACGATCTCGATTCCTCCATACATCGAAGTATCATGTCCTGTTCACTTGTAAATTTTGGACTCATTGAAGACATCCCAGCCACTAGAAGCTACCTATTTCCGCAGTTGAAAGAAGATGAAGAAGTCAAGTCAGCTGTCGCAGGTAATCATTAGAGAGTTTAAGATTTGCGTACGTAACGGGAACGGAACGTGTTGTTCTAATTTACTTTGCGTTATGTTCTCGGGTGTAAGAAAACGATTAAGTACAAGCGCCAACAACGGGAACGTAACTGAAACAGAACTATGTCAACCCGTCTCTCATTGGGCAACCATTATACAACTATCCCATACAATTTGTTATGTAATTTCACGTTCGGAATCTGAGTTAGTTGTTAGTTCCAAGACATCTGACAGCTCTCGCTATTTCCATCCACTCTGCTGAGGTCCCAGGCCTGTTTGCCGAATCCTCTTTCAGCAGATCAATATCATGCATTACCATCCATCTAAATACACGTCTCTTTGCGGGAATGGCCATTCTGAAATGTTTAAGAACAATTCATTTAGTTCCATTTAAGCTTATAGTAGCTGGTTAGTAAGGGTCGCCTTTTCGAGAAAGTGAAAGTGAGCCCGGCGTCGTCTTCATTATTTACATAACGAGCTGACCAGATGTGTTGTTTTCAGTAGGTATAAATATCAGCTAAAATGCATCCAATATTTCTTATTTCACCATAAATATACAAAATCACTCTAATATAAAACCTTCTATCAATGTCAGTAAGAATTAATCAAAATTGACAGCGAGAAAAGCTCTTGGAAATCAACTATGAGTCAGTCACCTTGATCACGTTCAGAACAACTGTCGTATGACCTGTTCCGTTCTCGTACGCGTATCTTAATGTCTCTAATACTTTGTTAATTTATCTTCACATGCCAAGTGCATGGTTATACCATATGAAATTAAACTTGGGGGTTGGTGTGTGTGGAGGGGGGGCAGCTTTGACACTTCGTGGTATTATCAGAAGGGTTTCTCGGTAAGACTTTCTTATGGCTCCCTCGCATACAACTCTTATCCTAACCCTGTCCCTGTAATGCCTCACTACCATTCTATATGTATATGCCCCCTTCAGGACATGAAGAGCATATACAAATGCATTTCCGGTTTCTCAATGATTAATACTGTTACCTTCTCTAAATGCTAGTACATGTACATTGTATACTTCTCTTAGGGACGACGTCAAAAGATCGATATCTGATAAAAAACTTATTTCTTTTAGTTTGGGGGTGGGGGGTTTTGAACTCAAAAAGTTTCCATCCTACAGAAAAACGATTTTATTTTTTAATGAAGTCAAAAAAATCTTTGAGTATTTGTAGTTCGTCTTTTTCTATCCAATCATGGACAGAAATAACCGAAAAGGAAAAAATAACACATCCAAGACGACTTGTCGAGAAAATGGTTTGGTTCGAGTGTAAATCTGTGCGTCAAATGAGGTGCATTTGTAAAATCTTGTCCCTTATCAATATAATGTCCTCCTAAGGCATATAGTATTTAAAAACAGCTTTGTTGTGTCAAAGTTTGAAGGCTGACAGTAGATTATGCCTTAATATTTACCCACTGGTATACATATTTTTTTTCTCAGAAGATGTTTCGGTCATATATGTTGCATGCAAAACAGCAAGTTGATTGGTTAAAGCATTCATGAGACACAAATGCTCCAATGTGTGAGCAGACAAGATGGCGGACAAACCATTAACATTATTTTTCATAAAAAGCTTTGGCCATGCAACACACATAATATCAAGTTGAACAGTTGAAGCATTCATGCAAAATAAATGCCACATTTTTGCCGAAAATCTAAGATGGTGGCCAAACCATTTGACTGATAAAATTTTTTTTATTTTTCTCATAAGAATCCATGGCCATATATGCGACATGCCAAATATCCAGTGATTGGTTAAAGCACACCCGAGGAACTGATCCAAATTTATTTTCTGTCCAAAAATAGTTTGGTTATAAAGGTTCATGGCAAAATAATCGGATAAATATGACATCTGTAAAAAAACTACTTCCTGTTTAGAAGAAATCAAAGATGGCAGACAAAGCATGTGACCAATCACAAAGAGATTTGCATTATACTGTAAAATACTTTATTTTCTCTTGGAATTAATTTTCGCTATTTTCACTGAGGGAATGATTCAGTGAATATAAAATCCAGCGAATATACTTTTTTTCCTATATTTTACATTCAACATGTCAAAAATCAGTAAAAATAAATTCCATACAAAACAACCAAAATGTCTTTTCATCAAAAATTAATTCCAGCTAAAATAAAGTATTTTACAGTGCATTGTTACTAAAAAAACAAATTTCACATCAATGTGTTCAGTGCTTCTGATGATATTAAAGTGATATTTTGCTGTTTTTCAAGGAAAAAAAACATGCCGGAAAAAGTTACATATCCGCTAACATTTCCATAAACTTATTATACTCAACTAACAATGCAATGTATTTGATCGGGGCGGGAAATGTGAATGCAGGGCGCTTGTTGACCGATGCAGGGCGCACGACTACCTATGCAGGGCGCACGACTTCCTGCTAAAACCCCTTGTGGAGAACACTGTGGGATCAAACACTTGGGAACACTTGGGACGAATCAACCTCTGGGACAAATGTGAAATAGGTAGCCCATATATCAATAATACTACTAAAAACATTAGAATGCCTAGACCTTCAGAAAGTGTTAAAAATGATCACTTCCTGTTTAACTAATATTCAAGATGGCTGCCAAACTAGTCTACCAATAAAAATTCTGAAATGCACCAGTTATTCTTGACCCTAAAGTTTTGAGAGTTTCAAATGACAATATACATTGTTGCCTCCCTGCCAAGTTTGTGAACTTAAAACTAAGTGTAATCGCTCGAAACATTAAATAACAAAATTCAATGCCAGGAAAAGTAAATGTTTTTTTCAGAAATCACAATGTGTGTCATTTCATGAATTTACCATTCTGAGGCATGTCTTTTATTAACTAATTACTTTTCTCTGCTGTTTAGATTGTATAAACATCTGATTCCTAACATCTAATGAGTTATAAAATTTGTATTTAATACTGAGGCTCAGTGATAAGTTGTCATGTCAAAACTTCACAAGAGCTCATATTTTATTGTAAATTTTATTGCACAATATTTTATTCCTGTCATGTAGGGCTTTATCCTTTTTTCATCACGAATTCACAAAATAGTCGTGCTTACACTTTTCTTCAGAAGAGTGAGACAAAAATAGCTTTTTTGAGTCTGTTGGTTCCATAATTAGTGTTAATTTCGATAATTATTGAAGAGTATGAGAAAATAGTGCAGACAAATTTGGGTAAGAAAGTCTGGTAGTGAAAAAGTTAATGCAGTGGAGTTATTATAAAATAAGTCCTCATTTTGCTGCTTGATGCAAAGAATAGTTGAAATCATTAGTTAAATAAATTATTAAGAAATTTTTCAATATTTGTTATAATTTCATGAAATTTATGAAAGATCATACCATTAATATTTTAATGCATGACATTTCACAGCTAGGCATTTTAATGAAAATTCATCATGTATTGTATCTATTGAACCTGTAGTGGAACAACATCTGTAAATAGAGAAATCCTCATTTTTTATTACCATTCTTGTATTATTATTTAGTCTGGCAATTTATTGAAAATATATAAAGAACAATTCAAAGATACATGTATGTTGCAGAAATCATTCATTGCTTTAAAAGTACTTGATGCTATAAGCATGCTATAAATATGTGTGATGTGATAACTGATGTGAACTACTTGTACTAGTACTACTGTACTTTAGTTTTTGACTCCTGTGTGCGAAGCACACAATGGGAGTCTTTGCAGTTAGTTTGTCTGTCTGTATGTGTGTATGTGTGTGTCCCATCTGTTCCACTGATATCTCAAGAACCATACATTGTATTTTTTCTGGAGCTTGGTGCATAGATGCTCAGGGCCAATGCGCAGATTTGATTAGGTTTTGGTAGAAATCCATGCATAATAATTACCTAATTTGCATGATAATTACCTAATTTTTAGCTGTTCCATGACTGAACCACTCATTGCATTTTGATGAAACTTGGTTCATAGATGCTCTGAACTAATGCCAGGTTTTAATTAGTTTTGGGTGAAAATATGTGCATATTAATTACCTAATTTGCATAATTAGTAATTTTCGGCTTTTCACTGATACTCAACTACTAATCATCACATTTCAATGAAACTTGGTACCTAGATGTCATAGGACACTGCACAAACCAGGTAGTTTTTAGGGTAATATCAGTACATATTAATCACCTTATTTGCATAATTAATTTTCGAACTAATCACATTTCAATGAAACTTTGTACATAGGTCCTCTAGGACTATGCAGAAACCTGATTAGTTTTGGGGTAAATAATTGTGCATATTAATTACCTAATTTGCATAATTATTTAATTTTCAGCTTTTTCACTGATATCTTGAGTACTAATCATCACCTTCAAATGAATCTAAACTATGCAGAGAGCCAATTAGTTGTTGGTATATATTTATGCATATTAATTACCTATTTTGCATAATTAATCAATTTTCAACTTTCAAACTGATATCTCAAGTACTAATAATCAAATTTCATTGAAACTTTGTGCATCGATGCTCTAGGACAATGTACAAATATGATCAGTTTTGTGTTAAAATCTGTTCATATTAATTCCCTAATTAGCATAATAGTTCATAATTTTTTGGTTCTGATCACATTTCAATGAAACTTGGTACATAGATGGTCTGTTACATTGTGCAGACCTTATTAGTTTTACACTCAAATCTGTTAATTTTAATTTTCTGATTTGCATAACTAGTTTTTCCATCAATAAATTATGAATTAATTTTGACTGTGTCTCTAATACTCTCAGCACACAGGAGTTCTTTCTAAGCTTTCTTTGGTTATATTTTATTATATACTTTTTTTATTACAGATGGCTGGGATGATGCTGATTGGGATTTTGATGATGTAGACTTGGATGTGAAGGTACTAACATTCACCTTTGTATTCTTGACCTCATACTAACCTTAGTGTTCTGGAACGTTATTTTCATCTATGAATCGTTCTGTATATTCCGTGGCCACATAATACACCTGATCACTCACTGAATATTAGACACACCCTAGTTTTATGGACAACATGTCATAAAATATATGTGGTCAAAACAAATTCGGTTCAAGGTTTTTTCTCCATATTGTCCTGATATAAGCATGAACAACAGTGTGATAAAATAATTGAAAAAATTATTTTTAATATTATATGCGTTACATAACACCAAGCAGAGGAGATTGAGTATCTCCTGCTTTGTTATAATTTGGTTGTAAAAATGGAAATTTATTTGGTGATTACAAAATGTCATGTGATCTTTTCTATAGATTTTTCCTTTCCCAGAATAAGTTTCTATAATTTTGAAACTAGCTAAACAGCTTATTTAAGAAAATTGCAGATGTACATTATAGGGTGTTTGCTTTCATATAAGTTTATAAAAGACTATAAAATTAGGTTCAGTTTTTACTATAGTTATAAAAAATAATGAGTTTACTCATAAGAATATATGTACAAACAATTTCATTTTGTGCAAACAATGAAACCATACAGTGGACGTAACGCATATTAAATTTAAAGAGGAATTTAATGTGGCAGTAGTTACAGTTTATGTGTGTTGGTGAGTGCACCTAGGTTTTAATAAATAAAACCTCCTAATTGTAATACATACATGGTGAACAGTACCGGGATTATGATGTAGGTAACATACTTAGAAAGATACTGTGCAAGTGATGTTGTCATTCTTTTGTCTTTAACAATAGAAACTTAGGCATGTAAGAAATGTTTTACATGATGAGAGGAACCACCTTTCATACTATAAACAAATTGTCACAAAATTAGCGAGTCAGTCAAAATTGTGAAATTTTTTAAGAGTGAAAATGTCTCTACTGTTTTTTTAAATGAACTGTCAGGAACTTTTACTCTAATTCTAAAAGTGAAAATTAAGCGATTTAGGGCTTCATCAATGAAAAAGATCAAGATATTCCTTTGCTTTTAAATTTATAAAGCACAATCATTCATAACTTTTTTTCTCTTTATTGATAGCAAATGCATTTATGTATGACTGAGGTGTGTTTATGGTCAAAGTAATTCATATTTTAATGATTCAATATACAAAAAATACAATTTGTGCTTCAACTAGAGATGACTTGCTTCTAATAAAGCACATACATATGGTCCACATAAGCTGAAACTACTGCATATGTTTAGGTTAATTGGTGTTTTAATTGGGACTACAGCCTAACTTGAATATAATTATTATGTGTGATCTGTGAGAGAAATGAACATTCCAATTTCATTGATTGGCAGTTGTTTCAGTTCAACTTCATGAGGGGCCAAAACAAGAGCAGCTGATATTGTTACTTTCATGATCTGCATTTAAAATAAAACATTTCGCTGGAATACTGTTATCTGGATTAATCCTTAAAGTGCCTGTGCAATGCCCACCCTCACGTTTCCCATTTTAGATCTGTGTCCCACTGAAATGGGCAGTTATTGATTTTTTTGCTGAAAATGATTACTCGTATACAAGTAAATTTTGGATATTTCTCGTGTTGTAGCCACGCCCACCTATCCTGAAACGGTTGACTGTTTCCGGATTTCCGACTCTCGCCGAAAGTGCGCCACCAAATGCCAAAATGTGAGAGGAAATCATACCCCTGAGCCGTAATAACACTGGTCATTCAGTATACTTTTAAACGATATACATTTTTCAGTTGGCGTTTTTTATTTTTTTATTTTTTGTCTATTTTCTTTTATTGAGAGAGAGTTTTTAGATGTTGTGTTGTGGGCAGTTGCAATGAAACGTATAGTCATAGTGTATGTATTGACACGTTTCTAATCGATCCAAAGGTGCGACATCAGTGGACGAAAGCCACTTAACCTCAGATTCCTTTTTTTGGAAAAACTGTCCTCGTCCATGAAAAAACAACTAGGTTTAAAGAGAAACGCCGACAACATAAACCTGGCGCAACACTTTTGAAAGAAATAGATTCCGGACTTTTTTTGCGATCGTGATAATCGTTTTATAGAGACCATTTAGTCCCTGTAAAGTAAAAGGTAGCAATAATTTTGACAGTGACACGAAAACGAAGCGTCGGACAAACAGGAAATTACACAGCCCTTACACACTGCTAATTGTTTTCACTTTCGAAGGCTAAAAGTTTCTGAACTGTTTGGTGATTGGTGTTGAATGTCGAACTCACACCTCTGTTCTTTTTTTACCTTCATGCTTGCAGCTTCATCTGCGTAATAATTTATAAAATTAGAATCTGGGCTTGGTCAATGTGTTTCCACCAAATAAAGTTTTAATATGATGTTATAATTATGACAATCACGCCATGGATCACGCTAACTCGAATCCACTCTGAATTAATCTGTATGTGTGTTGATCCCGATTATTTTTGTTATCCAATTAAACGCCGCTTTTAACGCACTTGCCTTTGTCGTGACCTGACGCGTTCACCTATTTCAACAAAATTTTAATTTATTTCCTCGCGGCTGTCATTTATTTAGTAACTGTGATTTGTCGTTTTTTTTAATTATTTTATAGTGATCACTATAGTCTAATGTTTAGCATGTCAAAATATGTTCTCTTTTATTTTAATTTTGAAAGTTTTACTCAAACGATCAATGAAATAGTGATGTAGTGACGTGCCTAGTAACCTGCTAAATAACGAGATAATTCGGACGTCAAATTCTATTTTGTCCAGCGACTGTGTACAAACGTGCGCCGCTGACGATCACGGTGACCAGCTACACCAGAACGGACATATTTCGCATCTAACTCAACCCCATGCAACAAAAATTGATACTATGTGTTCATTATGGTCCATTCCTCCTCGACGAACAAGTACATAAATGAAAATTTAGTCAAAGACTAGAAAACTGCAGAAGAAATTTGCCTTATTTACACGTATCGACAATGCAAGCTGCCATGCGACTTGCCCTTCTGACGTCACAAGGGGAATTTCTGTATGCAAATAAGATGCTAATGAGGAGCCTCGTTTTAAAATACACAAAAATAAAGTTGCCGTAGATTGAGTTTAAAACACATTTTTTCACTTTTAAAAAATAATTCATGCTTAGAAACATAAAAATTAATAATATTTATGTATCAATGGATAATTTTAGGCGTGAAAATAGCAGCCATTTCACAGGCACTTTAAATATTAGCCATGTGTTTTCTCCAATTTGCACTAATTCATATCAACTCTGTCATAACATAGCGATAAATCTATAAATATTGTCATAATGTAACTGATAGATGTAATTCTGACAATATATCTGTTTTCAAAGGGTAAGGTTGATACTGACAACATCAAGGAGACCTGGTTGCAAGAATGTTGTATTAGTTTATCACCAAGTCATGATATATTGGCTATTGCATACAAACAAAGGGCAGTGTTCCTGACACGTAAGTACCGATAATCCATATAATGATTATGTAAATACAGCCTGTGTAATTCACTTTGCTAGTTTTCTTGAAATACACGTACATGAGAAAGTGCTTGGGACAAAATGTCATCTTTTCTTTATTGTCAACTTTTGTTGCGTTGACAATAATTTCAGTATATGTTATCCTAGTGTCATCAAATCTTGAAAAAAACTTGTTTGGTATACAAATGGTTAAAAG